ATATATATAGTGTTTTTACATTTTGGTGCATGTGGTTTCTGCAGCATTTCTTTCTCAGTAAACATTTAAATCAGCAAATTGGAATTTTTCTCTCCAGGCGGTACCTCCAACAAAAAAATACTTGCGACTGAGCCAACAATGATAATGTACTTCCGGTATAGATTTTTCAAAATAAATGCATGCGTAGAGTTTGTTCTCTGAAAGTTACAGAAATGCCTATCAATACTACAACGTTTAACCAGGACACTATTTATTTTGAATTTGTTAATGACTGAATTACTATATACAAATGTACTTTACCAGTTTATTTAAATACACATTGAGTATTTGTAATGATTGGGTGAAAATAAACAAGAAAACTGAATGAGATCACTTTATTTTAAAGCAGCTATGTTTGATCCAGATCTAATTATAATTTTACACACATCTTAAATCAAACCATACATCATCATCTTATTATGTATAACAAAACATTATTTAGAAATATTGAATAATCCAGGTACATATTTTATTTATTTATCATAAAAACATAAATAATTGATCCAATATACCTATTTTCTGAAATTTTTTGAAATATTACTTCATTCATGCTAGGTGATTTTTGCAAAGAGAAAAATCATAGCAGCACCCTACAAAATGCTCCTGAATTGATCAAATTTCTGATTTCACAGCTCCTGAATTATCAGCAGAGGCGTATAAAGTACACCTAAAAATGTAGAAGTAAAAAATACCTTAACAGAAAATGACTTTGGTAAAAATGTATTTCGCTGGTTAGAAAAGTACTTAAGTAAATGTCATAAAACTGCTCACAGTTATCAGGAAAGTAAGAGCAAAAGTACTTTTACACAAGCTTTAATAAACAAAGTGTCAGATTTACTTAAGTTATGCCAACTGCTTCCACTATACCAAGCCAACTTGATTTACTGAAACCAGTTGACATAACTTGATTGAGTAAATTCAACACTTATTTTTTATGTGCATAAAAATCTCCTTTCATGACGAGTTCCGGTCATATTTAAAGTTGTAGTGTATAAATGGGTGTTCGATTTGAAAGTAACGAAGTAAACGCATAACTTTTAGGTTTTGAATGGAACAAAATAAAAGCAAAAGTTGCAATTAAAAATATCTGGTAAAATTGCAGATCATTTCAAATTTTACTTAAATAGGGCCTACTGTAAACAGACTTTGTCACTAGCACCTTTGACAGAAAGCACTGTTTAAAGTAGCCTTAAATCAGATAGAAATGTAATTTTGTTTGCAACTTCATAGCTACTTCATGGGACTGTACATTTGAGGAAAATCTGTAAGATCTCCTTTTATTATCTTTAGTTGGTAATTGGATATGACTGAACTCCACCAAAAAACTATAAACATAAATTTGATTTGCTATTGATGTGGTATATTAGACCAGTGTTTCCCAAAGTTGGGGTCGGGACCCAAAGTGGGGTCCCGAAACATCAAGGTGGGGTCCCGAAAAGATTTTCTGAATTAATTACATTTTTGCCTTTAGTTGTTACAAATGAGTGAGGTTAGTGTATTTAAAATGGATAAATGTAGTATAAAAATATTGTTGCTATGCCCATGT